TTAGGAATTTGACTCTAGTTGAATTTTTTGTATAGACTTGAATATTGTTAAAAAGCAGGTGCCCCCTGTCATTCTTTAATGAGCTAATCACCATCAGTTGTTTTTCTGTTTAAGATTCTGGACGTTTTAGTTGAACCCTTCAATATAATAAATATGTTCTGATTGTATGATTTTTTCTAAATGTTTTTTTGTTTTCTAAAATGCATATGCCTGCGGGCACCAATACTCCCCTTCAAAATTTTTTTTTAGTAATTTAACTGTAGTTGAGTTTCTTTTACAGACTTGCATATTGATAACCAGCTGCAGGTGCCCTCTGTATTATCATTCTTTAATGAGCTAGTTAATCATTATAAACTAATACTAAACATAGTAATTTTGAAAACGGTAGCATTGAATAGCACTAATTCAGCACTAAATTTGGGCGCTATAGCAGATTTTGGTGCTGCCGTTGAATCCGCTACATGAAGTCAGCGGAGAAAGGTAAGCCCCCCTGTAACTTTTTACTGGGTTAGGCACTAATTTTTAAAACGCAACGGTTGTATAGCACTAATTGAGCACTAAATAGTGGTGGTATAGCGGAAATTAGTGCTCACATTTTTCCGCTAACTTCACAGACCTGTTTTTTACGTAGGTACTTACCTGCAATAGGTACCAAAATGTGACATCGAATATTATATTATCTATAATAGATAAGCATACTCCACTTGGACTTTGTACCCCCGTCGCACACTTTAATAGGTATCATGTTTTTTTAAAATGAATATTCAGGTAAATAGTTATTGCAGTAAGTATATCAATATTAAAATCATCGTTATTTTCATTACTATAATCTAACTATTCTATAATATTTGACAGGAACGCAACGAGAGGATAATAAAAACAATTTTTTTTTGAAAATAACAAACGAATAGTCATAATCACTAATTTTACATTTTTTTTTTTTGATTTTTCTTTTTACATTTTCAAAAATTCATACATAGGAACAGAATATTAAATTTTTAACAACTTACAACAGTGCGTCAACTACTAACATAAGTGCATTGACACGTATAATTTATTTGTATAATATAATATATTATTTTATTATTCGTAACTTTGAATATATTAGGTATGTTATTATTATGTATGATATACAATTATTATTGTATTATAGTATATTGTGTATATATAGTACTATTATTGATTACAGAATTTCAACTTGGGAAATATGTATGTATTTTGTATGTGTAAACTGGATAAGTACTAAAATGACTAAGCATATTGGCACATAAATATTGTTTTAAAAGTATATAAGTGTACTATATTTAAATTTGCTTCCAGTTGATTCAGGCATGTACAACAATTCCAGTAACATTCCATTCGTTTATTATAAAATACAAAAAAAAAAAGATTTGCTTCAGCCTCCGCCAGTTTTTTTTGACAGAAAATTACGATATTTAAAATAATATTTCAAGTATAATCTAATTGTTGAGCTGGTTTTTAATTAATGTATAGTGAAATATCCCAAACACAATCGTTTGGTATTTTAATTTTATTTTTATCCAACTCATATATTTATAACAGACTAGGGAGATTGGACGTTTATTTAGATATGAGTAAAAAAAAAAAATAAATAATAGAAATAAAAATATAATAAAAACATTACATAATTTATTTTATAGTTCAATGATTTTATTTTTAACAAATTATTGGTTTCGTTTGGAATACAATGTCATATTTTAATGCCACAAGAATTATGTTGCATAGCATTTTAATTTGCGTGGGTTCAAGCATAAAAACTATATCACATATCAAATTAGATGAATGAAATTTGTTTATTCTGGGTAAAATTTGTACTATGTTTCAATTTGGAAGAGGTATAACAGATAAAGGAATTTCAAATTAAAAGCATACCTTTGTCACGAATTGGTGAAACACACATTGGGTAGGCATGCCAATTATTTAATGAATTAAAATATTTATTTTAACTGAAACGTAATAAATGTCTTAGAATATAATAGGCTACCAATGTACTCGTGGAATTTTAATGTAAAATTCATAGTCCAATACATATTTTTTTACCGAAAGTCATAAATCTAAATCAGATCGATTACTTTTTATAAATTGTAACTAATAATTAGTAATTACTCTTTTTATTTATTAAAAAAATGTCAACAATTTTTTAGTAATAAATATAGTTATAACTATGGCCTAAAAAAAAAAAATTAAAAAAAAATTGGGAACTAAATACCAATGTACATTTTAATATTGGTTAAATACTTATTATGTACAAACGTTAACAAATTTGTCCTTATGAACATCACGTCGAAACCTAGTGTTATTAGTTTTCATATTATTCCAACTATATGAATGTACAAAAAGAAGGATCTCACCTCGATAATTTTCAATTTGATAAGAAATATGTAATTAGATTTCAAACAATATGATCGAGAAACATAATAATAATAAATATAAGTTAATAATATGATCGCCCAATATGTATATGAACATTATAAATAAAGTTATTATGATAAATTAATAATTGACTTACAAAAAATATTTAAAAATCAAATCTAGACTCTTCAGTAATGAACTATTTCGAAGACTACGTCTACGTAGCGAATTTGTTTAATAAACTTATGATTATTCAAATTGTGTTTTTTTTTTGTTTAAGAGCAAAACGAATGTATAGAAATATATAATATTCATTAAATGCATGAGTACATATAGGTACACATTTTATGCAGAGTATAATTTGTTGTTAGTATCCATAATAATTAGTATAACAATTAATAAGGCTGTTTGAATGAGATTTAAACAACGCTACCTAATTATTATTTTTTCAACTCACTAATCTGTTCAACTGAAAAATGAAAACGAAATTTAAGCCTAAGCAACAAATGTATGTACATATAGATATACATAAACAGACGCAAGCCAGGGATGGCTGAGCCAGTATAGTTGTATATCATACGATTTCACTAAAATCTTTCATCATAATAAATATTAAGTAAAATATAATAATTATAATTTATAATAAAATTAGCAATACGTACACAGCGAACCTTCATGATTTATAGATTGCAATAATTTCGTTCACGTTTTGTTATTGGAGTTTTTGTCGATTGATTTTCAGATCGAATGAGTACACATTTTGATTCGTTCAATTTGATTGATTTGGCATTATGTGAATATTTATTAGATATGTGATTGTTGTATGATATACAAAAAAATAATAATAATAACCTACGTTTTCCTACCATCCAGTGAACAAAATAAATTAAATAACGATCTATAAGTTATTGCAATTAATAAATCATAAAAGTTACACTGCATAAATTAAACAAACACAACACATTTCGTTTCAAACAAATATTTCGTTAGTTTACACCAACTAATTAATTATAAAAAAAACAACATACAAGACACATTTCCAATGCCATAACTCGGTTATTTATTTAACAACATAAGGAAATCGATTACTTAACAAGTTATGTTTTTTTTAACCAATTAGTAATATTTTGTTCATTAACATTATTTTTAAACTATTGTTTATATAATAATAACAAAACAAAAAACAATAATTATATAGATACAATTTTTTGTTAAAATATTCTAAAGAAAATAATAGTAAATAATCACAAAAAATATAAATAATAATGGTATTACTTACGAGATAAAAAAAAAAATAAAAAAAACGTCAAAATAAAGTTATAGATGAATTAATATTATAACGTAAACATTTTAATATCAGTAAATATTTGTTTAAACTTTAAATAGTATATTGACAACCATAACAACAATATGTTGTAAAATAATATTTCATTGGAACAACAGTAAATTATTGTGGATTACAAGAAAAATGTTTGTGTTAAGGAATGTCGGCAAATAAAAGTTAAAATGTATACAACGACTCTATTCAAATAGGCTAATAACACAAGACACAGACGACAAGGCAAACAACAATACTGGTTGTTTGGTCGGTCTTAACGGTAATGGTTACAATGTGTTCGTTTGGCGTATTTAACAGGATGGTAATTAATTGTTTGTTACGCATGAAAAACGACAACAACTAATAATATCAAAGAAACAAAGTATTCAGATAGTCTCTTTTCATTCACAATTCACAGGTGTTACAGTTGAAATTGGCAGTGAATTATTATGTTTTAATTATATCGTAATGTTAATCGTAATAATGTAGGTAGTAGTATTATGGTAGTGTTAGACATGTTATGATATTTTGGGTCGACGAGTTTAAGTAGAACGGCCCCGTTGGGTTTTAATAAACCTTAAAATTTAAGTAGAAATATACGATCGCAACTCAACATTGTGGTGTTAATGCGATTTTATGGTTTTAAAATGTTGAACAGCTGACAAAATGTTATGTTCGTAAATATACTAAATAATGATCGATTTGACTTAAATATGTACAGCGAACAAAAAAAAAAAAAAACACAGCCTTATAAAACAATGCTACGCCCAACTCACTATTTATTTAAGTTAATACTATCGAGAAGACGAATCACAAATAGGCCGAATAAATTCCTACGCGTTTTTTTTTCATTTTTTTTTTATTCGTCTGCCTAAATTAAACTAAGTATTAAAGCCGATTTTGATAAATTGAATGTAAAAAAGTTCGACAAACGTTGTTGGTGTCGCATTGTTTTTTAAAGGTCACAATAAATATAAACCTATTTAAATACATGTAATAATATTTAATATACATTATATAATGTTAAGCTTAAGTGCCTATATGAGGGCATACGAGTAAATTATAACAATAACCATAATTTTAGAAAACAGTGATAATGATTTTTATCAAATACAATGAACAATTTTATATTATGTGCAACAATTTGTTTAACGTAATAATACTAAAAAACAAACAAAATATTTGAAATAAAAAACAAAACCATTCGATAGACGCCTGGCGTGTTGAGAAAGTTGCCGGCCAACATAAAATTAGTGTAAGCAAGTATAAAAATTCGTACCTGACGGACGAGACGTGAGCTTCAGGTTACTTATGAATAAATTGTGATCACTTCGCGACCACCGCCTCTCACCATCAACACTTTGTCGAGGCCTTCGGTCATCACTTCTAAGAATTCCATGTCTATAAAGTGATGAGTCAAGGATACATTTATGTTAATTAATAACTTATCTACAAATTGCAATTTGTATATGATTTATTTACACTCAAAATATTATATTTCAATTATCCTGAATAAACCACAAGAGAAAAAAACACAGTAATATATTTGACAAATCAGTTGGGCCACTTATGGGCTTCAGGATAATTTTTATCTCATTTAAAATCGAGTGGATAGATTTTCTTACATTTATTGTTGCTGTTTATTTTTAGATTAATTAATGTGATTTTTATCATTTTGTTAATATTGTTAAAATGTACGGTAAAACTTCAATCAAGTTTCTTTAAATAATCTAATAAATAGCTGTTTTTATGGTGCGTGAAATACATAATTTCAACATTATAATACCTTGTACTTTCAAGTCATAATAACCTCGCATATATTTGAAACTCCGTCAACTTTAAAAAAATGGTTGTCCTATCTAAAGTAAGACTGTAGTATTTGAATTTGGTTTCAAGTATATTCTATACGTGTAAGTAGGTTAAGCTACAACTGTAAAAATGTGTTGAAACTGAAATATATAACGTTTGCTAGTGGCTGATTATAATAATATAGTATTAAATTAGTTTTATAAAAAAAGGATACAGTTTGATTCTCTCTCTAATTTTGTGTCTTTAGGCGGTCCTGGTAAGTTGAATATAACCAATTGAGCGTCTCTCGATCTACTGACAATGACTTCGTTTAGTTTAACAGCTGTGTGCATTCTCCTCACATTATCTTCGTCTCTGAAAAAAAATGTGTTTTGTACCAAAATGTAGTAATACGCTACCGGTCACCAAGAATATAGCTAGGTAATAGGTATTATAATATTTTTATACTTACGGTCGCATTGTCGATGTAGACGAATCTGTTGTCTCCTTTGGCAGTGAGTCTTTTAAAACTCCCGGTTTTTCGCCATTACTAGTTGTTCGTTTCTCGTCGGCATCGAATGCACTATCACCCTGTACGTTAAAGAGTTAGCGTTATGTATAGTACAACTCACGTCATACGATGCCACGTTTGTTATGCTTACAGGTTTCGATTTTTTCGCTTCGTCGTCCATGCTGGTTTCTTCCTGGAAACGCACTTTAGTAGCCGATCTCCCTTCCGACGCGTCTTTTCTATGGTGCTGGTCTATTATAGATTGTACCTATATGACCAAAACAAGACGGTTAAACTGATTTGTAAAAATTATTGTGTATCATTCAAGATAACAAAACGTTTCATGGTTTTTTGAAACATTTTGAATACCCGTCTAAAATGCACAGCTATACTGACAAACTGGATTAGATAAAACTATGTCAAGTACACAGCACGGTTTAAAACAATTATAATATCAAGCCTTAATCAATTATTCTTGCATTAATAATAATTAATAACAATATATACACGATACAGGTAAACTGTTTTAATAAGAAATTACAACAGCTAATACGTTGTAATGTTATTAGTATAATAATATATTGATTAAGACAAACGAAAATAGCGTAATGCATTGCGGTTGCTAATGAAAAATTTGTGTTATAATTATCACGAGCTTTTATGTAACATAGGACTAGTAAAATATTTTAAGTATCTAGTATTGAAAATCGTACCTAAACAGTTAAACCTAAAATATAATAATTTATTCATGAAAATAATTAATATTATTATAACATTTTAATGCGAAATTTTTATTCTTCAATTAATATTAACGAACATTTTATTCAAAAGCAATATTCATAAGTATAAAAATTAAAAAGTAACAATGCGGAATCGATAAATAAAATTTCTAATACTAAAATAATATTTTCTACATATTGAAGCATTTAAGTTTATGCAATCATATATGTTAATACTTGGAATTTGCTTACTTTCTACACTACTCGGGCACACAATTAATATTTATCTACGAATTTTCAATCATCAACTAAGTACATAAACACTCTAAAGCGTTCCTATAGAAGTTAAATAAACTGAAACAAACCAATGGTGTATTCTCTCCAGTCGGTGTTTCTCGATTGAAATCTATGATATTACGCATCTTTTGTAAGCCAAAAAGATAAAACAACAAACCACAAGCCGTGTTTAAAGATAGTAAAAATGAAGGAATAATCGAAGTTGAAGTTTTATTAATTTATTGTAAAGTTCAACACAACAAAATGTAACGTTTTAACTTACCATTCCAAAGCTTTCTTTCTTGTTAAGCCTGAGTTCTCTTAACATTTGATTTCGTTGTTCCATCATGAGTGTTCTTTCATATGTATAAGCTGATATATCGTTATTTGTCTAAAATATAAAAATAATTTTAATACGCATGTCTGTTTGAATATATATTTTCGAAAAGCAATAGTGGTGAAAATTAGTAGTTACCATTTCAACCACTTCAACTTCTGCTGGTATTCTGAGTTGGTATAAGAAAGTTTTTAGATCTTTTTTCATCTGGATCGAATTATCGTCGGTCTGTGCCACTGTGAATATTCTCAACTTGCAGTTTTTCCAGGTCCTGTGTTGTTTCAACAAGAAAGGTATGAGCATCAGAATGCCTCCGTCGTGTACGATCCACCAAATATCGATTGTGCCCGACAGCTATTATACAATTACATGCGTGTATAGAATTACTGATTTATCGACTGTCAGTCGTTCAAAACCATTGTTGAAGAAAATGTCTAATCTTAGATTTTACCTTTGTCGCAGAGTCTGGGAACGATCTTATGCCTTTGGGTACAATTAGAGCCATCTTAGCCGCTGTTACGATACGAATGGTGTGTAGAAAAACTTGCCACGATCGGTCGTTCTCAGATTGTTGCCAGCTGTTTGGCCAGCCTAGAATCACGGTGTTGGGTTTTAATCCTCCAAGTCCAGCGATTTGTATCCTATATAGGTATGAGAATATGATACATAATATAGTCAATGACGTCGTTGGAGTGTCAGTCCGAAACTCCGAAATTAAATATGGAAACTCACAAATGACTGAGTCCCTCTGATGTGTTATTGGAGACTAAAACATCCGCAAATCCTTTGACCTTTTCCTCGTCCATCAACCTCACAAGTTCTTTCTTGGTAGATTGCACATCGTGACCGGTTTTCTTGACAAAGTCACCCTCGATGACGGTCGCGCTCACTGTGAGACCTTTGCCTGCCTTAAGTTGGGAGACCAGTGAGAATATCTTACGGTATTTTGGAAGGTCCGCGTTGAAGTTGACCAACATGAGAATCTGTGGACGCCAATTCTTGGTATGTGGTGGCGCGTCTTCCAGTCTGAGCAAACTGTATCTCGCAGCGGATAAAGCTAAACCGCGCATACCGTCACCCCATTCCTTTTCCGCTCTGCGATAAAACGTGATTATCAAAACGAATAATAATAATTATGATTTATCGTGCACTATGTATAACTATATATTATATTTTGGTCTGTGTCCCGAATAAATAATTCTCAAAACCCACGGGGAAATAATATTTTAATATTTAATACGTTCGATTAAACACGGTTTAAAACCGATTAATAAATAAAATAATAGCACTGTGGTATCTATATATTGATTATATGTAGGTACCTACCAAATATTATAATCGACGAAATTAATTATCGCCGTATTTTGTTTTTTCCCCCGAGCGTAGGTATAATACCATAATATATATATACACCACAATAATTATTATTTAAAACTCACCCTCGATACTCGATGTATTTGTAAATTATTCCCGCCATGCCCAGAGCTAACAGCGCGAAATACCAACTTGACATGAACATGACAGCAATGCACAACACGAGTCCGGTGAACGATAGTGTCCTATGGAACAATTCATACGAAATCGAATTACACCAAAATATAGATACTGTGGCCTACGCTTGGCGCTACATAATCAAACCCGTAGCCATTGGGGAGAGGGTGGGGGGGATCGCCCTGTCCATCCATAAACCCATCCGTTGGCACCCTAGCAAGTTTTTTAATTAAAAATGTTTATAATAATATTTAAAAAAACGAGCAAGAGATGTTCTATGGCCGAATGTATTATAAAATTTCAAAATTAAAATTACATTATAATATTATGTACTAAAACTTAAAAGGATTTATCGTTATAAGTTTTTATTGATGAAGGAAATTACATCATTTTTAATCGCTTTTCTATAGTATAAATTATAATGTGTATAGCCGAGTAGGTATTTAATTATACAAATGTACAGCATCTGATACAATGTGGGAATTTTTTAAATACTTAATTAAAGCTCAAATAGTCAAATATAAGTTTAAAATATTGTATTTGATGTAAAAAACTAAATTAAAAATTAGGCTATAGCGAGGTACTTATTTTTTATAATACATAACCCACTCCTAAATACCTATCTATTCTCTCCTTCCGAAAATCTGGCATGGTAACGGGCTTGTTTACAACATTGATTAATTGTACGTTGCACGTTGCACGTGGTTTAAGGTTACTTGTTGTACGTACCAGTGATAGTACTTAAACCTAGGTCTCCAGTTCGGCGTGCGCAACAGCGTCTGCAAGACGCACGCCAAGTTGACGAACGCGTAACACATCAACAGGAACATGGCCAAGAGCGGAGCGAGATTGTCGATGTTTCCGATCAGTATGCCGCACTGACACACGGCTACAGTTATCAGTAGAGCCCTAGTGGGTTCACCAGATGCCGAAGATTTGGCAAACGGTCGCAGGAACGGTATGATGTCGTCCTTGGCTATGGCCTGTGCGGGACAACACATTTCGAATGATTGTTATTGCACATTATATTATTAACGCCGTTTGGGTACAACTAATATATACATTAAAATAATTGAGGGGCTAAAAACGATCTATCATATTATATTATACGAGGAGATCATAATATAATATGCTATACTAGTTTTCATTATCATATTACCTGCAACAGCCTCGGCGCCCCGGTGAGACTCTGAAGTCCGGCTCCCAATGTTGATAATGTCGCGCCGACCAAAATAACCCATTCGTTGGGCCATGCTATGTTGGCCACCACCAGACGTCCTCCAATGCTCTGACCAAACCTATGTACATTAGAAACACATATAGGTACAAGTTGTTACAACTGATCGACAACTCTTATCGAAAGACATTCGAAGTATGAGTGTACATGTTTTGAATTGCATTACGATGTTTAACAATAATCGTCTCCTCATGAGACATAACTACATAAGAAATATTTGACGATATAACGAAATAGATAATTAATTATATTATAGGAATCTATAAAATATAATAATAAACTCTTAGTTTTGGGGTTATGATTTCAAATCTCAAACTCGAAAAAGGTTGATCGAAATTATTGCAGAAAATGAAAGATGCATTTTTACATACGAAGAAAATATAATAATTGTTTGATTAAGCTTATTGTTACCATAACCCATTTGATTAAATTTCGTGCCGGAAAATCTTTAGGAAATACTAAGACTAGTAATAGGTTAATTGCATGGGTCTCCAAAACTCCGGGCCGTGGCCCGCATAGGAACGCACTAGGTAAATATAGATAAAAAAAAAGTGGGCAAGTTGTGTCGCTCTGCTGTACAGTAGGTTTAAGGTGGGTCACTGTTTATGGATGGTATTAAATTTGAATTCAATGAGTAATAGCATTGTATAAGAAAAACGATTCTGAGCGGTGATGGTATGTCAGTCTATGTAGAAGCATATTATATACATAATCTATGGTATTAACAAAAATTAACCTATACTAATGCCAATTAATCATAGCACAATATCCATTAGATACTTAAACGCGTTATACAGCAACAAAAACCGATGATACTAAGCATAGATATATAATAGTACACTTTAGAAGTGTCAAGTACCCACGAATAGTATTATTCAATCACAACAAAATAACTAAAATCGTAATTCTTGGTTTAAATATGAAATTTTGTCTAAATTTGAAATTAAAATGTCTGTAAAAAATAAGTGTGTTTATATATTTTTTAGATTTTTTGGTTACAGTATGAATTATTTAAGAGAATCTTTGTTTTAAATTTTCAACTCTTAGTTATAAAAACTGAACATTTTATAATTTTTTAATTCCAACGATTGATAATTTTCGAGATTTTGATAAATTTTGTCAAAATTCCAACTTTAAATGCTTATAAAAAAAAATCGTGCCTATGTATTTTTAATATTTTTCAACTGATATTGTAACAATATATCAGGAGCCTTGTATTAAATTTTTACACTTTTTGGCCCAACAGATAAAACTTTATTGATATTTATAGAAAAAAAACTAAAAAAATTGAAAGCTGTAAATGTCCATAAACAGCTCAAAAAGAGTCAAAATATTTTAAAAATTGTATGGTGTATAGGAAATGCTAATATAAACATTCAATGAAATTTTCATGTATCTACAGTTATTCGTTTTTGAATTACCACAAAATAAGGAAATCGCTACATGAGAAATCGAGTGAAAATCCAATGTTGTAAAAATTTGAATTTCAAACGCTCATAAAAATTTAATTTGACTGTCCGGTAGAGATATTTTTATTGATAAAGGTAGATAATCTTATAAGGAATCTTGTGTTTCATTTTCAAATCTTAGATTTAAAAAGAAAAATTTTTACGAATTCTTAACTCAAAATAATTTGCTAATTTTCATGATTTTTCCATATTTTGTCAATTTTTGAACTTTAAATGCTTATAAAAAAAAATCGTGACTAAGGATTTTTAATATTTTTCATCTGCCTTTGAAACAACATATTAGGAGCCTTCTATTAAATTTTCAAGCTTTCGCAACCAATAAATAAAATTTTATTGATATTTTTAGAAAAAAAACTAAAAAAAAATGGAAAATGAAAATGTCCCTAAACAGTTCAATATAATCAAAATATTTTGAAAATGTTATCGTGTATAGAAAATGCAAATATAAACAACCAGTGAAAATTTCATGTATATACGTTCATTTGTTTTGGAGTTACACCAATAACCAAAATCGATTTTTTGGAAAACCAATTTTGCGTAAAAATTCCCGTTTTTCCTTAATTTTTATGTTGTTTTTCCCGGCGCTTGTGAAAACTACTGGGAAATTTATACTTTTGACCCCCCAAAGTACCAACTAGATTCACTTTCCTATCAGAAAAGCTACTGATGAAGAAATCCAAGCACTTTTACTGTCCTAAAACGTGATGACAGACACAAAAATATAAATAAAAATATAAAAATATAAAAATATAAAAATATAAAAATATAAAAACATACATCATTGTAAAACCAATACATTCATCGCTCCGCTCAGAATCTAAAATTATTTCAAAAATGTATTTATATTATATTATATTTATACCTATTCATTTTTATTTAAGTATAATGTAAAGTAAACAATATTTTATACAAAAATATAAAGTAAATATATTATTCATATAGGTACCTATATTATCATAAAATTATCAGTTATATGTGTTAATAAACTTTTGGCCCGCTAAGAGCATTTGATTTTTTTTGTGGCCCTTGAATAAAAAAGTTTGGAGACCCCTGTTAATTGTATTGAAATAACGGAATCTTGAAAATTTTATATATTACAAACAACTATAGGTACACGATGACTGCCTCGATGGCTATTTCACTTATAATAAAGGGTCGTTCTTTAATCTCTTTTAAAGGTTTACTTAAACGAGAAAACATTTAATTGTAACATGTATAAAGTGCAGCATTTTAATTTAATTTTTCAGAAAATATATTTTTTTTTTAGAATTTAGTCAATTCGATTAATTTAAGTCAAAGTAAATTAAAATAACAAAACAATAAACGCGTATAGGTTCTAAATCTAATATCGTGGAAACACCGAGAAAGTACAGTTAAACGATTAAAACTATTATGGTTTAATAGAATGTACCTAGTTATCATATGGTTGATGTACATAACCTAAATGTGGTCTGAAGTGCATAAAACATTTGCTGTCTGCAACATAAGCAGATTAAGATATAGTCAAGCCTAACATATTTTATTGAAATATAGTCTTATTAAACGTGGAAAAAAATAATATTAAATCTTTTAAAAAAAATCTTGACTTTTCTCATATTATATTGTGTTATGTATTATGTATAATATACTATATATACGTATTAATCATATTCAGGCACTACCCGTCGACAATTGAATAAAACTGACAACCCATATAATACACGGCTGTAGATAATATATTAATATTTAACGTCGACGATGTAGCGGATTTAGTTTGGCAAAATGTTCTTCAAAGTTGATGATTTGAATTTTGAATCTATATATACGATAAGATAATGTCTGATGCATTATTGAATCGAAGTTGTGTATATATATATGGTGAAAACTACAAAGTGGACTAGTCGCTTCCGCCGTTATGTCTTACTACCTATAAGATTCTAATAAAATACGTAGAGTATGCTATGCAAGTCGATGCTCGAAAATATTATTTTTTCATTTACAAAGTATAAGATACAAATAATATAGTATAGTCCTTTTTCAGATAACTTATGCAAAAAAACAGCATATAAATAAAAAAGGGATAACAACAATCCAGATATGGTACAGTATATAGGTAGTCTTTTTTAGGACATTCAGCTAAAATTATGTTCTATTGAACATATTAACCTCATTGTCCGTTCTATTGATTGGTAAAATTGATTTTGTGCACTCAGTTATTTGATTGATTTTGAATAAGTACACATGAAAATAATGACTATAGGAAATGTATTTAAATCGAATGATATCGGCACCAGATTAAAGTGTAGGTATTCAATATGTTTCTTTCAAATAAAGGAAGTGGTAAATGATTGTGTGAGAACAAAAAATGCAATTTCTTAAGTGGGTGCTTTTTTATGCTTACTTGTCTCTTAGTAGTAAATTATCAACCGTAGCTCCGAATAGTAAGACGGCAGACAGGTAAACCGATGATGTACTCAAAATAGCCAATATTGTACCAATGGGAATTGATTTTTGTGCATCTGCTAGATCTCCGGATCTGTTAGAACCGGCCATGATTCCTAATGAAAAATAAACAAAAATAATAGTAATAGGTAATAATAATGCAAAAAAAAATACTGACCAGTTACGGACGGAAAGAATATGCCAATAAGTATGGTGAATGTTGTAGTGATATCTACCATTACCATATTATACGTATTCTTACTCGATGCCAGGATATCTTCTTGGAGATGACCTCTGGCTATGTACTGTCCTTTTTCCAAAAAGTTACCAAAGATATTTTCTGTAACATATAAAGCACAGTTTATAGTTTACATGAATAATGATGATATTCTTTTTATTTGATCCAAACAAAATAGTTATAAAAAGTCCAACGAATTTAATTTGAAAACATTATATAGCGTTATAATATAATTTAGTTCATAATTATCATATCAAATAGATGTTTTTTTTAAAATTGTTTTAAATAATTGCATACCTCTAAGGCACGATAACCATACATGAAAAATCTTAGGTTTTTAAAATTAACTTTTAGCGTAGGTATACCTAATGTTTTACTGAGGTATATCATGAAAATAATAATCGAAATAATCGAATTTGAATTGATTTAACTATTCAAGTAAGTAAGGAAAACAATGTATACATTCAGTATTTTTGCCTCTACCTAGTTGGACCAGTTGGAGTCAAAACGTTTTATTATTTACTTTGTTATTTCAGGAAATCTATACTGGTAGTAAGTTAGTAGGTACCTAGGTAGCGTTAAACAAATATAGATACCTAACCTATAATAACTTGGGTGGTACATAATATTCTTTGATGCAAGTTGTATGTAATAGTATACGCTATTATTATTAATTTTCCTATACGAAACACGAACCAAAGAAAACGCCGCTGCTAATGCCCCGAATGCCTTTCACGATCGATGTATTATGCTTGGTGAAGTAGTCCTCGCACGCTCCGGTTCCATTGGCGCAGTACATATTGTGCAAGTAACCGCCTATCGCTTTGTTACAGTGTTTCAAGTCCATGTCCTTGAGTAGCCGATTTCCCAGCGAACACATGCTGAAAAGTGAAACGAGCGCGTGTACAACGTTAGGACAATCACAATATTATGGTTATATGTTGATAATATAACGATAAAAGAAAACCGGAAGACGGGCCCAGGGCGACCGGTTTGGTATACTTATGTGCTTACTAGAGTTTATCGCTGCCATGGAAGTTATAAAAAATGCCCACGTATACAGACAAAATGGACAGCAGCACGCAGGCTAGGGCCACGGACGCGAATTTGTTGACGAACTTCACGCCGACGTACACGATCGAGCTCATGACCATCAGCAATATTGTCCCGTACACGCGGAAATTGTTGTACATTATGCTGTTGTCTTTGGAGAAGTCGCCGAAAATCGATAAGCTTGGCGCCATGTACGTCTGTCGAAACATAATAAAGTTCGACGTTTGAAATAGAAGCTGTCGTAATTTTTCCACACGTGTGACTTACAACATACGATAATATTATTATTGATATTTATTTTTTCGATAAAGTGTTATTGTTTCGCCGTTTCTTTTATGCTACGCGCCAACATCGATTTCGAATTGAAACAATAAATATAAATTATAAATATCCTATCGTACAAGCATAGTTTGGTTTTACCATATTATATTATATTATACCATTATAATATATGGTTTGCTTATTATATTTAGTAAACTATATGTGATTAGGTAATCAGTGGTTAAAGTGGAGGACACAGGAAGGGAACGAAATCTAGCTCCTACTTAAAACTTACATTTTACATCCCTTTTGTGAACTATTAATTTTAATCTAACGACGAGTCGTTTAGCTGTTGTTAACCCACTTAAAATATTAAGTATCATACATATTATAAAAAAATGTTGGTAGCTTTAAAGTTTATACCTTAATTCAATTTTTTTTTAAATATGTAAGTTATTCTAATTAGACAGTATTAAACTTTTTCAAAAATGTTTAGAATGTTGTTTTTTTTATTACAATGTTATGTTTCCAAAATATGTTCAATAAACTGATTTTATAATCAATAAGTAATTACTAAAATTATATCAAGGACAATTAGAAAATGTATTGTATTAAAAATATACTTATTAAAAATGTAATTTAATATTTTAAATTAGTAATATTACCAATTACCTACTATTGTATATTAAAAAAATTAGGTAGGTTTTCAATTTGTTTAGTTATTAATGTCATAATCAAGTATTCATAGCATAAGCTCATTAAAACGTTTACGGTGAAAATAATGTGATAATAAATATTGATTATAGGTATTTGGTATCTTGTAATGAAAATAAAGCTCATGCAAAAATATTATGAGCCAATAAATTATTACTAGTACCCATGCACATAGTCCCTCGAGATGTATTTCCATATTTTAACCACTTCGAAATATCGACGAGTTACTTACGAGTATGATTTCAACGGCGCCTATGATGTACATAGATGCGGCCAGTGTGATACCGGTGTAGAAGAGCATACCGACAGCTCCCCCGCACTCGGGACCCAACGACCTGGATATCAAGAAGTACGGTCCACCAGCAGGCACAACGCCGTTCGTGGCTATGGCACTCATCGAAATAGCAGTCAACATTGTCTGAAAAAATAAATCCCTTCATTAAAATGGACTGGCGATGAATTTTATCTAAAAGGGTACATGGCCGGTTGGTGGTGGGGGCAGTTTTCGCACCGCCTAATATATTACAACTACGTTGAGTTGACATCGGAGTTCAATCTCTACGAGAGAGAAGAAAATAATCGTTAAAATCATGGTTTCGTTATGTACATTTAAGTAATTGGACGAGCGTATAAATAATGTGATGCGCACGCATATACAGAATACAATAATAATATATTATAATGTATACTCGCGAGGGCGAATGGCTTAGAAAACGTATGCATATATACCTACCTATTATATTTATATTATATAAATATTACATACATGCTTACATACATACATACATTCATACATAAATACATACATACATACATACATACGTACATACATACATAGGTACATACATGCTTACATACTTACATACATACATACATACGGTATAGTGCATAATGGGTTGCATTAAGATAATTAAACCATAAATGTAATAGGGAGTGATATGAGCGTTATGAATAATGGTTGTAAAATGATCCCTTCGTGCGTATCACGGTTGTTGGATTTTCCGTTTAACCTATAAATGTAATGGTTTATGTAACGAAATCTGAAAAAAGCATAAACGTCGTTTTAATCACGGTTTTTATGGACTTCGATACGCTGCGTCTAATTCAAGGAATCCGTTTTTATACCTAACCTTTATATTTCTTTTTTCTAAACACCAAGCGCATTTAAACAGGAAATTTCGAAAAATATTTATAGGCCTTGTATAATAATAATAATAATAATATAGACATCGAAAACGGGCAATATCCTGGTGCAGTGTTTTATGAGGTGGTTTATTCAGTGGCGTAACTAGGATTTATTTTTGGAGGGAGTGGTATATTGAGTACAAATTATATTCGTGAGGAAATACTGTTCTTTGGACATTTTTAAATATTCAAATAGAACATACCACGAGGACGTTCTTGATATTATACAGAGTGTCCCGTGAGGATTTACCTATTAGCCGTAGAGGGGGACTCGCCGCCCAGACAAAAACCGGTTTTTTGCCGTTTTACTTATTAATTAAAAAAATTATTAAAAATCAGGAAATTAATGAAATTAAAAAGTTGAAACGTCAATATTTTCAGAAAAATGAACTCTACAAAATGGCAATCTTCAATATTTTTTTAAATAATTAATTAAAAAAATAATTTTTTTAACTTTTTTACCAAAACATAAAAAAAAAAAAAAAAATTAGTTATTTGTAGTACTTACCTCTGTGAGTCTTAATAAGAAAACAGAATTACGATATCTCTATTATTTCAGGAGATATCGCAATGAGTAAATCCTCACGGGACACTCTGTATATTGTAATATGATGTTGAAGTATAATACCATCAACAGCCATGGTCATCCATATCCTTATCCTTATATAATATAATATATAAAAGAACAGGGCTTTTTATGTACCACGTTTCTGACGTCACTATTGAACTTTTTTACGCAAAATTCTTCTGAATATTCCTACACTCTTTTTTTACTCATTATTAGCCAGTGGAAGGAAAGAAACATTATATTTCGTTTTCCACTTTTCCAACGATACTATTGATTAATTTCACGCTTTATTTTTTTCCACAACTCACGAGTAAAGCTAAGTTATTCCACCAGTAGTTTATACAAATTAAAATGACTTAATGACGGTTTTTATATAACATAGGTGTAAAATGTTCATTCGTCAGATAACATATTATTAACATTGTATTGTATATCTCAAAAATTGATAATTTGAATTTAACAAAACATTTTGGAGGGCAAGTAGTAGGAACTACTGGTTGTATTATAAATTTATAATCTATAAATAGGGAAATAATTTGTGTCCCACCGTACAGTACTACAGTACAATTTTGTTTTACACTTTTACTAATATGAACTCCAATAAATTTGAAACAATCATTATTTCGATGATATTAAGCGGTTGGTCTGCACGTCGCCAAATGTATTTGATCACAAGTATAGACTTTTGGCCTCGGAGCTACTCATTTTCTCGATGGAATTTATTCAAATGTATAGCGATCTGCCCTGCATATCATATAAATAAGCGACGAAAAACTAATAGCAGAAACTCGTAAGTAATTAATAGTAGCAGCGCATCATAATGTATAACGTATGGAAAATATACGTCAGAGGATAAATTAATATTTGAAATATTCGAAAGACGCCATGCCGTCTTAACGATGTTCAAACCTATAATTATTCATAAAGAATAACTTTTGATTAAAATACGGAATTCTGAAGCGTATAGAGTTTATAACAGCATGCCATGACGCACATAGAGACATCACGCTTGCATGAACTTAATTCGAATTCTGCACACCTACTGCGTACATTATAACAAACAAGTTAAAAGAATCCTCCACACGGTCGTTTATGAGCAACCTTTATAATTTTTTAGCGATAATAATAATGCTCACGGGTAAAAATAAAATTCCAGCCAAAACGCGCGATAACGTCTCTCTTACAAGGGTATAATATACGTATAACGAGCACGCGTTGGCGGTAAGTATACTTTTCGTAAAATGACTGAAGGGGCGGGGGATTGTAACGGCTAAAAAAAAGCTCGTTAATTGATCGTTAACAACACAAAGCAGTGGTCGGACCAGCCTGCGTATTCGAATAAGCAGCGTACCAGCTGTTTTGTTTGACTATAATAATGTAACATTTAACAAACCGTTCGCCTGAAAACTAAAATGAATCGCAGACGTAGTAAAATGGGGGAATGGAGGCAAATGAAAATAAAAAATGAATAAAGTTATGCAAATTATGAACAATTTTAAAATATTCTTGTTTTCCCCAAGTTTATGAAAATGCATTACTTTAATAATACATAACTTTATGTGCGTTAATAATTTATGCTATTGGTATGTAATATTAATTATTTATTTCACATACAAAAAATATTGTTTAAGTTAAAATTGATGGATTATGTTGTTATATACGATTACAAAGGTTTTAAAATTTAAACAGACCGGTATTCAACTATATATTCAAAATGTTTAAAGTTACAACCAAGTACCAACCTCCTAATTTTTTGGGTTACAGAACCCTAATCCAACCCATTAATAACAATGTCAATATCATAAGACGTTTTTTAAGTAATATTTTTGCAATGATCTATAACTGTTGGCCACCTCTGCAGTTGGTATATACCTACTATTTGTTCATTAGGTATAAGGTGGTATGAAGTATTATTATTTAGTGATATTGAGTATATTAGAGGTAAATACCAACATTATATACTCATTTAATAAAAAAAAAAAACGATGAATAAGATGGCCATATAATAATATTAGGAAGTGAACTAGAAAGTATTATTATAGTCAAGTCGTATGGGACAAATATGAGGGTAGTTAGCCTGATGTTGAAAAGAAGATAGAGTGATTTTCGAAAGAGAGCAATTTTAGTAAAATGTGCGTGGGATTGACGAAGTTAACTGAAGCTGGATAATGTTATGAGATTTGAGAGCGACTGACGATTAGCATTAATATTCAATGATTAAAGGCCGTTAATCTATTGTCAAGTAATTATTATAGTTGGTGTTGTATTTTATATTTTATTTATTATATCAGACTTACCACGCAGCAACAGGTGAACACGATTCCGAACCCGTAGACGACGCCCGCCGTGCCGACCACCCATGACAGCCGAATGAACAAAATTACTCCAAAGATGTTCTGCACGCAAGGCAGGTAGACGCCGACCAGCGTGCCCATCCTGGACGATCCCTGTTTGGCAGTGGTCGACTTGGTGTCGGACTCTGCCAGATTCGGGATGGTGTTCGAGTAGTCGGCGATCGAGTTGAGGAAAGTGGGCACCCGCGGCCGGTCATCCATTTCATCCTGCAATCAGTCCGGCACACAATGATAAGAGCTCGTTAGGTCGTAGGTAATCATAATGTCGTTATCATTATTATTATTTATATTGTCGTGGTCTGTCTGATCGTTGCCGTAAGTCGATTGAGCTTTTTAAAAATAATTGTTGTATAAATGTATACACATTATATAATATACCAATTTCGTATCTGTCCTCAATGATTTTATTTATATTTCAACGATTTCAAACAATTATTAAGAGGATGTCAGATCCGATTTTGTGTTTCCGTCTTACAAGACGCGTGCTAACCTAGCAAATTTATGTTCAGCAGTTCACGTTTAGCATCAATAGTCTTAATATAAGTGTTAATTTAGCTATTTTCAAACTTAAAGACTAAAAGTGTTCTGTGTTTGTACGTCATTCGTCAGTTTCTTATGAAAACAGTTTTAATTTTTAAGCAAGTTATTAGCATTATTAAACTGCAATATCTAACATTTTCATCACTTACTTAAAAGTTGGAATATCGTTCAAAACCGAATTACGAACACAAAATATTTTGTTACCCTTAAGATAAAATTGTTTTTTTTTTTCACAAATATTGTCTGTGTAGTATTTAGTACCTAGTTAATTTTTGAAAAGGTATCAAGAAAAAATTATATTTTAGATATAGCTAAAATATAGACTATCTATCCAATTTTATTACTGAATGGTAGTCATTATAGCAACCACTTAAAAATAAATTCCCCTATATAGCAAGGAGGAGGTCCCGAAGAAGTAAATTTATTTTTATATGTACTTAACACCTCAATTTAAAAAGTTAGTACAGTTAGTTGTTGATTATTCATTATTAATTATGCTCTTTAAAGGGTTAAGATTAACTTATCAATTCAATCTCATATGAAAACTAATGTGAAGTACGTAAAGTTGAGACGCTGTGCAGAACTTCATATTTCTGATATCCTAGCAATCATGAAATATATTAGGTATCATCAAATGTTGTATTACTACGATTATATGAAACTTTTTACTTAAATATTATTTTGAAATGTTGATTAGTAACTGGTAATCATATAAACAAAAGAAAGTATGGATATTTAAAATTCCCAAATTCTATTAATATGTGCGGCCACTATGTGTTTAATATTTTGATGTATATATATATATATATATATACTATGTAGTTAAATGTAAATGAAAACAGAAATCTTATAAAATAAGTGTGGAATTCAACTATTAACTTTCAAATATTAATATAAATGTTTAACATTCAGTTTAATAATTTATTTATAACAAAAAACTGGATAGGCGAATTTATTTAAAAATACTAAAGTAACCTTCTTTTTAAAGAAGCAAATTGTATCACACTTATCTTGGTATAATTTAAAACTACTATTACTTAGTTAATTTTGTTCTATAAAACAGAATCCATTATAGTTATAGGTGTAACATATTTTTCAATACCTATGAGTAGATATTATGTACTAAAAGGAGTTTCAACCTATTTTATTTTAAGTGGGTTGGTGATCTTGTACAAAATATTCACGAAAATTCAACAAACCGTTTTAAAGGGTGATTTAGTTATAATATTCGAGGTGTCATATAAATTCTAAAATTAGAATTTAAAAATACAAAATAAAGACAATATAAAAGGAGTAGAGCGTGTCCAGACCTTGAAATATGACTTGTAAGTGTTGGGTTATTACGGTTTTTGGCAATAGAAACAACATTTTTCTTGAAATAAAATAAAGTAACAACTCCTGACTATTGATGTAATCATGTAGGTACACTAACTGTTCAATATTTGCAAAAAGGACTAAACATTAGTTCTTCTAAGTATGATAAATAACTACAATTATACGATTTATTTTGAAGGCATTTAACTTATTTGGTTAACATTAACTGGCTATTTGGATATATGTACATACGTTTTTTTTTGTTTTTTTTTTTTTATTGAACTTAAGCCCGGAAACTATGGCCATTAGCTGTTGTAGGGAATCATGAACTGTGGTTGGAACTGTTGGTATGGTAAGGCATTGTTACGGTTAGGTGAGCAAAACACGTGGATGTATGGAAAGGTTTTTACTACTACGAACCCGGGTGGTCACCGTCACCCATCCAAGAACTAGTAGCTGCGGGCATTACTTACTCTCAGTCACATTGTGCGACTGGTGGCAGTCAATGCGCCTCGCCAAGCCACACATATGTATAACTACTATATAATTTGTATGTACCACAAGTATATGAGATTATATCTATTTTGTGTGTTTACAATGTTTATATGTAATTATTATTTACTTGTCAATCACGTCTCTATAATATATTTTGTAATGTATAAGGTATAACATAATATCACTACGTGTATTACAAAATATAAGTCTTAATATGGCACTTAAATACTTAATTCATTTTTTAAAATAATATAGGTAGTTAATGATAAATAAAATAAGATAGAACTTAAAAAGACTTGTTTAAATCAATATTATGTTTTTTCTTCTATTTCTAAATAAATTTAAAGAAGTTTTAATAACTTCATCGATTTCCACAAGAAAAAGTTATGTTTATTCAATTCACTGGTTTGATTGTATTTTTTTATATTTATTGGAACGCATACAATTTGGCGTTTTAGCCTAGTTTCAAACAATGTCCCATTTAAAAGCTAATTAATTCCTTTTGGAAGTTTTCCAACAATAATATTATCAGTTTTGGTACTGGTAAACTACTAGAATTTTTTTTACTTCAGATTGTTTAAAAAAAGAGGTTTAATTTAAATTTATGTTTTTTAATTGAATATTGTATATCTCAAAGTAATACTTACAGAATAGAGGTATAAATTCGTTTCATATCCAGAGTTTCTGTTATTTTCGGACGAGTACGTTTCATCTTTAACATCACCTGTAAATAAAATTATTTTTGTTATTATTTTTATGGAATATGTATTTAGAAAAGTAAAATAACAAACAATTTTTCTATACAAATTGATGTAAAATATGGTTTATATTGTATCAAGGAATTTATTTTATGGTTTCGAAATGTATTTAGAACATTAAAATATTTAAATACAAGTTTTAACAAATACAATATTATAATAATAGCTACTATTCGTATAAGAATAACATAGTAATATTATGTACAAATAATTTATAACAACTTTTTATGATGTAAACAGTTAAAATGTTATTTTAGTAATAAAACAATGTTGAATATTTAAATGAAATAATAAAACAGCTACTATAATATAATATTCTATGCTGAACATTACGAGAAATCAAAAAAAAATGTTGAACTATTTTACAAAATTCTGAAGTGCCGTTAATAAACTGCAGCTTTCTCCACAAATCATTCATGTGAAGCTTTTATTTTTACCAATGTACCAAATTTACCTATTGCTTTATTTAACAGATTGTAAGATATATTTATAAATAAATAATAAAAAAAAACCTTAAAAATATCAATATTAGAAGACTACATGATTTGTATAGGAGTGGTATAAAGTTCGGATTTACAAAATTATATGATAAGTGCTGGAAATATGTTTTAAAAAAATGTACATTGTACGAACCACAATTTATTTTTCAACTAGTAAACAAAATACTACACCCACGGTCCATCGATTTAAGCCATTCAAGTGAGAGCTGGGAAATCTTCATTTGCGCCCTGACCCATTTTTGTAATGCCCGTTATTGTGGTTAGGGAGTGAAGGACAGTGGAAGCGGTTCTATTGATTTGCACTTCAATAAAAATGTAACAAACAGTTTTTTTTTAAACTAGAGACAACAAAGGCTTTTTACATTTTTTATTTGTATTTATTTTTATTGTAGCTTTTCCCTACCACAATTCACATAAAAACGCCGATTAATGTCGGCTGATTACCAAATGGATAAATAAAAAATAATAATAAACAATAAAACAAAACAATGAGAAAAAGATTTAAAAATATCCAAGCAATAACCCTATGGAGTATGGTATGTATACAGTACACAATCAAATATCAAATGAGTAAAATATTTAATCACATATATAATATTGTGTTAAGTACTTGAATTTAAAAAAGTGTTTTGTTTTATAGCCATTGATTGATTTTTGATGCGTAGAAGAAAAACAATATATTATTGTATGTATTTTTAAGAAAATATTGCATGTTAATACAATTATTTGTTTTAATTAATACTATTTCAAGCCCTGCGACTTAAAATTATTAAAATAATAAAACAAGTAGTAGTAAAATGTAGTTAAATAAAGAGTTAAATGTGAAAAATAAACACATTAAATACTCATTACAGTAAATTAAAATACACTATAAATTATGTAAAATCATTTAGTTTCCAAGCAATAAAAATATCTGTTTAAAAACTTACAAACAAAATAAATTGTTTCAAAAGTTTTGTCATTACGACAAATGCGTCAATAATTAATCATAAATTCTAATTAATTTAAATATTTACTATTAATATAAACTTTTCAACTAAAATTATTATATCAAAATAATTCATTAAATGATAATTTGTCTGGAGTTCAGAATAATGTTAATACATTTATATTTATGATGATAGAGTTTAATACAATAATTGAAACAATAGACTCATATGAAAGTAAAGTATAAACGATTCTTTAATTAAAGAAATAATATGGTATAGTTCCAATTGCATGCCCTTGGTAATATATCAAGTATTTCCGTTACTGTATGTTTATTTTTTGATGAATTATCAAAATTTTCGTTTATTTTACTACATAATGTTGTATTTTGATATTGTAGCATTCAATTAGGTACATCTGAAAACGATGATTTGGGCATAAGTAATAACCTACCAATGAGACTATGTAATATTTTTAATGAAAATATCCAAGTACATACATGTTTCCCACAAACACACATTTTTATGTAGGTATATTAACATTTTCTAAAATTCACAATTGTGTATTGGTACATACGCACTTAAGTATTAACATTTTATTACATGTATAGCTTTATTATTAATACACTAAAGTATAACAATAAATAATTACATCATAAGTTTACGAA